AAGGAATACCCATACCTTTCTTGAAAAATCATCAATTAAGGATAAAAAAATACCCATTCCCACCTTGAGAGGTGGTGGATGATGGACCACACAAATCAGAATGTATATACTCTAGGATAGATGTAGTCTTATGTTTTCCTGTACTAAAGTGAAGTCTATGTTGTTTGTCTAAGGTACAATATTCACAAAAAAGGAATTTTAGAAATTACATCACTACCAAAGGCACCCCTCTTACTTAAGATTTGTAAACCTTTCTCACTCACATGGGCTAACCTATTATGCCATTTCAATGTAGCATCACTCTCAGCTATAGAGGATTCTGCAGCGTGACTTAAAATATTAGCCTTAGTGACATAGATTCCATTTCTTTTAATGCCCTTGAAAATAACTAAAGATTCTTTAACTATTTTCAAGAAACCTTCTCCAAATTTTCCTTGGAGACCTATGTCATCTAAGTTCCCAACTAAAATCAGATTTATATTTAAATTTGGTACATACCTTACCCTTTCCAAGGTAAAGGTGTACCCATTATCAAATTTTAAAATCACACTGCCTATCCCCAACACTTTACAGGCTGTATTGTTACCCATAACAACCTCACCTCCATCTAAGTCCTTAAAATCAAGCAACCAATACTTTCTAGAGGTCATATGAAAGGTACAACCAGAATCTAAGATCCATTCTACACTCTAACTTAAATTATTTACATAATTTGCAGAGTTCAAATCAGAGAAGGACTCAGTCACAATATAGACATCAATAGTACCCTCACCTAGAGGTTCAACAATATTCCCTTCATCAATTTTAACCTCTCTTTGCTCATTTTTCTTTTTAAAGCAGTCTTTAATATAATATCCCTTTTTTCCACAACCATAACATTTTCTAACTCCAGTTCTAGACTTTGACCTTTGTCTACCCTTTCCCTTCTTCCTAAAGGTATTATTTCCCTGATTACTTTGGTTACCTTGATTATTACTACATCTGATTAGTGGTCTACCTCTTACAAATAGGTTCTCACTTTCCTGGCCATGTCTCTCACATCTAACTTCCAAATCCTTGCTTCTTAAAGCATCAATCACTATCTCAAGTGTTAAAGACTCTCTTCCATACTTAATAGCTGTCTTAACATCTTTATACACATCAGGTTTGGAATTTAACAAAATTACAGCCTTATATTTTTCAGATACTTTATCCCCAACATTAGTTATATCTTGTACTAGTCTATTAAAAGTGTCAAGATTATCATCTAAGTCTCGGAACATATCAATTTTGAAGCTGAAATTTTTTTCCAAAATAAATAGTTTATTTGGTAATGATTTTATCAAGTAAAGTTCCTCAAGTTTATCCCATAAGGCTTTTGCATTATCCAATTTTCCAACCTTCTTAATACTGGATCAGACAAGTGAAGAATAATGGAAGTATAGGCAAGATCATCAGATTCAGTCTTTTGTTAATCAGTTATAGTAGCAGGAAATTCACCAGTTATAGCTTTAGACACTTTTTGTTGAACAAGAACCCCCTCATTTTTTGCTGCCAAATGGGAAAATCCCCTTTTCCATTAAAAACCCTAAGTTCAAACGTTCCCGTTGTCATTTGAAGTTTTTAATAAATATAAGAAAAACTTTTGAGGGTTAAAGTTCAACCAGAAGGAACAAGAAGATATTTCACAAGATGTATGACAATCACAAAGTATCACACACAGTATGAAAACTATCAGGGGATATAACACAGTGAATATTAACAAAAAATAGTAACCAATCAGAGGAATAATAAAACACTTCAAATATGCAGTATTGTTTCTTGAGTTCACCAGGATTCCATGAGTCTC